ATTATGTGAGCTGAGTATTTGATTTGTCGAGTTCATAATGACGCCCACGCAAAAACATTTTTTTATTCTGCAATCTGCAAGCTGCAATTTAACGATAGACTGCCAATAGTACCCATTCAAAGCAATTTAATTAATGTACGTCAAAAAAAAGTGTCAAAAAACCTCCAACCGAAAAAACCGACAAAAATTCCTGGTGGATTCGGTGCCTCACCGGCTTCAAACAGCTGATCATTCCGGTCAATTTTGGAACGAACGATCGGGTTCAACCGGTAAAAAGTCGGTACATTTTGGAACAGTTTGGTGAGTAAACTATTAAACCGGTATCGCACCGGTTCAGAAACCGGTGAATTTTGGAAAGTGCCCACTATAAAAGGTAATGAGATTTTTGGTTACTTTTATTCAATACAATATTCGCTTCCAGATTTCTTAAACACTTTTTTAAACAATGCCGCCTTTGAATTCTTTTTGAGCCTACAGTCAGCCTGGCTCAATTTTGGCATCACATCCTTGTTCCTGATTCGAGTGGGAAAATTTTTGAATTCTGCTTCATTGTGATGACACTTAAACACTTTCTTGTACTCAAATTCAAGAACATCCTTTTTGTGGATAATATCCTGTATTAAGACATTCAGGTTTGCTTCCATCTCAAATTGCGATTTCAACAATATTTATATTAAAAACTCTACTAAAATTGATAATCAATAAACTAAGCGAACAAACTATAGAGTAGGTAATGCACTGACTGCACTGTCTCTCACCCGACAATCAAATCGCCCCACAAAGCGGCATGAACAGAAACAGTATGTCGGCCAATTAAAAATCGGCAATGGCCAATCAGATCTATCGAGTCCACGTTGACTGGCATCGAAATTATACAAGAAGCGAATCAGATATATCCATCCCTACTTGTCTGGCTTCCAACGGGTACAAGGAGCACTCAGTTTAAAGGACATGGCACTAAATATTAGAATCCTGGTGATCGGTCGATTTTTTTAAAACTGCAGTATGTTATTCTATACCTGAAAACAAGCTTTTTTGCTTATGGTCACTTCTTTGTACGAGGATGGGATGTCCCAGAAAATTAAGTCCAAAGTTTTTATATGGAAGATTTTGTTTGAAGCATAAACTATCTAATCTGTTATGTATTTTTGCAACTTATACATTAAAGTCAAAGATATATATATATAGTTAAGAACCAAAATTATTATACAGGGTGTCTCAACAATTTTAATTTAAACTTTAAACCAAACTACACTCTAAAGAAAGCCAATAACCAAAATTACGGTTAAAAAAAATGAGTTCAAAGTTTTTATATTAAATGTTTGATGTATCCGTTTAGCCGAAACCTTTGGTCAAGCTTCAGAATATTCCATGTAGTCAACCCGTCAATATGAGTCCGATAGCCAGTGCAGGTTACTACAAGGTTACCACCAATTGTGATACTGCGGGCCTATATGGCATATTTTTGTATTTGTTGACCTATTTCTACAGTATTAAATCCAAATCGTTTCCAAGGAACAGCAGCTACTTCAAACAGTCTCTGGTGATCATTATTACAATGTTTGTAGTTATTATTGATATTTTAGGTTATTATAGTTTTTTAGCAGTTGTTTGGTTATTGGCTTTCTTTAGAGAGTAGTTTGGTTTAAAATATAATTTTTGAGACACCCTGTATAATAATTTTTGTCCTTAACTACATAAATAGCTTTGTCTTTAATGTATAAGTTGCAAAATCACATAACAGATCAGTTAAACAACGGTTAAACATAAGTTTATGCTTGAAGAAAAAATTTCATATAAAAACTTTGAACTCAATTTTCTGGGACATCCCATACTCGTACAAAGAAGTGATCATAAGCAGAAATGCTTGTTTTCAGGTATAGAATAACATACTGCAGTTTTAAAAAATCGGCCGATCACCAGGATTCTAATATTTAGTGCCATGTCCTTTTGCTATATTTTTCAATATGTGATGCAGTATACTAACCATACCACTATTTTAGGCCTGGTCCAAGTAACTTCGTCGTTAGACTTTAACACAAGAATTATTGCAATAGGTAATTATAAATGCAGCGAACTAAAATCACACGGCTGGCTTATGATATAACAACTGCCGCCAATTTTTTTTCACGTTGTTAGGAAATGGAGTGGCGGCCTAAGCTGGCGGCGTTCTGCATTCCATTGTACATATACTGTTGCGAAAACTCTGTAGGGCGGTATAATTTGGATTAGAAACAGGCGCGTATTATAACTTCATATCCTACCTACTATGTTATAGAGTGATGTCTATATGTATCACGGTATGATTAGGAGTAAACATACGCGCATTTCACATATACAAATCACCGAGGGAACGGTGAAATTTTATGTTTTATGCTGCTGAACAAAGCTTGGCTTGTAAGTATAAGGTACAGTTCACTGAAGACTGAATGAACAGAAGACTGCGATTTCGGCGGTTGTGACATCACAAAGTTCCTGCATAATTTATCTTCACAAGGAATTTTCTCGGAGACTATTTTGAATATAGGACTGCTGTTTTCACGAGAGACCTTAGAATTTTTTTCTTGATTTAAGTAGCTCAAGTCGTTGTTTAGGGTCACACCCCCTTCAAGAGAACGATTGCTCTTAGTCACCCATCTTGTTATTTCCATAATACTGACAACGACAGAGCAATCGTTGTCTTGAGAGAATGCTGTTCCCTGGGTATGAGAATACGGGCCCTGGTCGTTTTCTCGTTGGTCTGTTGACAGGACAATCTTGATGAGCTTAGAAGATGCACAATGTCTCGATTACTGATAGCTTCTTCTAGTTGTTCAATGTTGTACATCGCTGTGATGACTATCTTGTCTTTGAGTCTACTTCTTAAGTCGTTTCAGCTAGTCAGTAGCTTCGGGATGTTTCCTTATCGTAACCTTGCTTCGATAAAGAATTGAACTGGATTATGACAGAACCAGCTCCAATATTTTATAAGTCTGCGACATTCCGAATGACAGGTATATGCGTATCTTCTCTCAAAATTAGATCTTTGAGAGGTAAGTAAGCGGAAGTTATTTCATTTTTCCCTCTGACTGCTTTAACTTCGAAAGTTACAGCCCCTATTTCATATTTTTCATTTATTCCTTGAAAGAAGTGTTCTGGTTCTAGGTCCTAAAATAACAAATGTATTGCGTAGGTAAACTAGTCTTTCGTTTTTATTGATCCGCCACCGTATATCTGATGTCCACTAGAATTTACAAGATAAAATTTATGTTGATGAAATGATGTAACGAATTACCTACTGAATGGTCGATAATTTATTTCTATCGAAAATTTCTTGAAGGATCTAAGGAATTGGCATTGCCGTGGCAAGTTAGTGTTGAATCAAAGAGATAGTGTAACAGTTAATTATGAATCGAACCATTCAAAGTGATGTACCTAATTGTGTGATCAATTATAATTAAGCTTAATTTGAGTGATTCAAAGTAGGTATTGTATTTGTACGTAGGTACCTAATAGTGCTCTAGTGTTGTTGACTATTGGGTATTTTTGTGTTATTTTTTGAAATTAACTATATACTTGCTGGCTGTTTTGAATTTTGGAGCTTGCCAGGCAACTTTTTAACCATCAGAATTAGAAAAGTTATTTGCTTCAATTATATTCATAGATCAAATAGACCATCAGATAGTGACATATTTAGATGCCCCATTTTCGCATACAAGCCTCGAAGAGGGTTGAAAAGTACATCAATTTTGAGTAGGATGAAGGTATTTTTAGGAATGGCTCCTGGGGATGACGTTGGAAAATTCGATTTTCCGTAACAGAAATGAAAGACATCCTAGTGCCCATATTTTCTCGCAAGCCGCATTCACCAAAGGATTAATTAAAAAAACCTGGCTTCGTGAAAACAAATAAGGGGGTGTTGCAGGTGGCTAAAGCTTTGAAATAAGGGCGAAACTTTGTGAGGAAAAATTGAGATTCTGGGCGATTTTTCCACACAAGCCCATCGGAAGGATGAAAATCTACAACTTCGGTAGCAGGAAAACATATTTTCTTGAGTGTCGCTAATGGAAAAGTACATTTAAGGGTAACATAAGTAAAATCGAATTTTCCAAATGTTATCCCCAGGAGCCACTCGTAAAAATACCTTCAACCTACTCAAAATCGATGTACTTTTCAACCCTCCTCGAGGCTTGTATTCGAAAATGGGGCACCTAAATATGTCACTATCTGACGGTCTAAAAATAAGCATATTAAATAAGGTTTGCCTTCGCTCGACTCAGACATTTCAGATTCTATTCACCATTAGAATTAGATATGTAAGAAAAGTTATTTGCTTCAATTATTCAAATTTGCATTTTCGGGGTACAAATTACGAAATAAGTGGGTTTTCAACTTTGCGACAAATTGTCACCAAATTCTGTCGCTGGCTCCCGTGCTATAACGGTTCATTAACAAAATCGCATTAATTCGCAGTTTCATTTTTTGCTTTAGAATCATATTAGGTATTTAGTCATTACTAACGTCGTGTTATTTGATATCTTCCAGCATCTGCATTGTTTGCGTTAGTCTTTCTCATAAAACATATTTGGCCAACATCTTTAAAGTTTATCCTTAATCAGTTCGTTCAGCGCATAATTACATTTATTAGTCTTCACGATTCATGAAGAGCCGTCAGTGAATAAAAATTCTTGGCCTTCTGTTTTAAATAATAAATGTGGCTTTCACTCAGCTGTGGCTCTTTTTTTACTGGCCTTATTTTTCTTATCAATGAGAATGAAAAATACCAAGACAATATTCAATCCGGCAGCAGGTTATCTTCATCTAAAGGCAATGCATCTCACATGCATCTGACTATCTGACATTTGCATTCCACAGCCCAAAGCACAGAAAGCACATGTTTCAGGAAGGGCATGATTGGTCCCAGCTTTAAAAGTGGGGGAGTTTGGGACCATGTGCCGCTCCAGTTTGAATTTTTCTGCCACTCAACTCACTCTGTCTTGCTTGTTGAGCGGTAAGGGGTCGTTATCGCCCCTATTATAAAATATTTCGTGTTTATTAAAATTCAAAATATGACGGACGAAACCTTAAATTTTGACATAGAAAATGTTGAATTTCACTTAGTTACTTTATTTGAAAAATTGGAAAGTATAAGGCGAGAAAAAATCGGCAGTTCGAATTTGAAAAAATTGCCATTGCAAGTCGAACTGAGGACTTTTGAGTTTTGGAAAGCGCTAATTTCTGAAACTATCGCAAGTTTTGTGTACGTTTTTTTAGTTTGCGGTGCCAATGCCGCTTCGCGAATGGGCAATACTTCTCCTGCAAATGTCTTTCTGTTCACTGCTATGACTTCGGGATTTGTTATGATGTTTTTGACACAGTTCTTTGGACATGTATCTGGTAAGTGAGATTTTAATTTTTCTCTATTTATAGGTTTATTTTTTTAAATCACCAGGGATAGTGATTTAAATATACATACCTATCAATTCAATACATGAAGCCTATTGGAATAAAATTATTTACAGCATATTGTCGCTGTCAGTACGAAGAGGCCTATCTCAATATTTGGCGAAAATGAGTTATTCCCATAAAAATACTCAAAAGAACCATATCTATGTTGTGACGAAATGGCATATCTCCATAATAACCGTGTGGCCATTATTCAATTTTAGCGGCATAACTGCTTTGTCAAACAGCCAAACATTTGTTTGTGTCACTACGAACGGGCCTATCTTCTTCATAATTTATTTACAGAAAAAGTCCAATCTTTTCTTTCAAAAAAATATGTCTCAATGTTCTAAGTATAATTTTGTGTTATGTATAAAAAAACAAGTTCTGCTACAGACAAAATGAATAGTAGAGTTTTCTTCAAAACGCTCTCTTGAAAACTTCTTGAATCAGAGATTAGCCACTTCATAATGACAGCGACGATATTATGAATATTGCAACAATAGGTAGGTAGCTCTAAAAAAAACTTGTATTTTACCTACAATTTCAATGTTAAACGACTACTTAGAAAAAACGTATTTTTATATCGGTTTGCCGTTTGCCACAGGATTTTGCTATCAAATGCCGTTTCAGCTGCTCCAAGTAAACTTGGCGGATAACTGCATTGACTATTAATTTCTTCTTGCACTTGATTTATTTCAATTTGACGTGGTCACCTTCACCCATAAGCTCCAGGTACGAAAATTATAATGGGACTTTATTGAACCTAAAGAGTCTAATATTCATTGGTGTAGTAGAGGTATGCGGGGTAAAACCAACGACAAATAGGTCTTAAGATACGTAAACCTATGCCCTCCAATATACCTACTTATTCCTAAAATATATTTTTTTCAAAAAGTAGGTAACTGCTCTATTTAAACCAACATATTTTTTAAATACAAAGTTTAAAATCAATCTTGATTTCATCCAACTATGTAAGTACCATAATAGGACTAGTTATCTAAAAGATTTTAATAATTGAGTAGCCACAGGAACTCGAATATAAGTTTTCCAATTCTGTAGAGCTAAAAGTGACGTAGGTACACTCATAAAACCTATGTATAGTTTTACATACAAACAACATAATTAACTCAAATATCCAGGTTTGTCAGTTAACAGATTCTTTTTCCTGGTGAGGTTTATCCAAATTTTTGATGCACCTGGTCAAAGTATACAGTGAAGACATAAAGTCCATCGCCCCCCTCTAACTTTTGAACGGCTCGGTATATTGCAATGAAATTTGGATTGATGATATGTGAGCAAATTCTCCATTTCTTGAAAAAGAAATGACAGCTTCAGCTGTGAAAATGACAGCTGGACGCAGTTTTAAAACGTTTTTTTTTTCAATAGAAGGCGGTGTCGTGTGATATAGGTATCGTTTAAAGGGCCGGTTTCCGAATAGCGAGTCACCTTCGAGTTGGTTTTAACTCCAAGGTAAGTGTGTGCAGTTGCAATGTTCACCCTGGAGTTATGCTTATATATAACTCAGGGGTGACTTGCTATTGAGAAACCTTCCCTACAGGTATCTTCATTCTTAATGTAATCCCCGATTCTGAAAAAAACCATAATGAATAAAAAATCGATAAAACATTTTTTTTTATGAGTGTTTATGACTTAAACAGCCCCATGTTTTTTCGTAATCATTTCAAAACCGCTAAACCAAAGGTTTTCAGAATTGGAGATTGAAACAAGAATAAAGAGACCCTTAAAACGATATATCATTCGACTACGCCTTCTATTTGAAAAAAAAGATACAAAACTGCGCCCAGCTGTCATTTTGACAGCTAAAACTGTAATTTCTTTTTCAATAAATAGAGAATTTGCTCACATATCATCATTCCAAATTTCGTTGCAATATACCGAGCGGTTCAAAAGTTAGAGGGGGGGCGACGGACTTTATGTCCTCACCTTGTCCTCACTGTATGTATATCAAAGGTGAAAACCTAATTTATCCTATCACCGTAAAAATACCTTCTGTGTATATTTCAGGTACCCGAGGAGGTACTATGTTTGGGATCTTTAAATATTTATATTCATACTTTAAGCCATGTATTAATATACGAAACCAAGATATGTAATTGTCTACTTATGCAAAAAAGTGGAATTAACACAATAAAAAATTGCCATGAAGTGTTATTAATTGACTTTCCTCATATGAATACTCCGTAAAACTATTTTCTCTCCTATTTCTGGTTTAATGATGGGCTGTATTTTTCCTTCCAACATGTGGTTTAGGTTTAATTGTGGCTTTTCCTTTCTGCATTTGCTAAGACCGTTGTATAAGAACTCTGATAATTAAAAATTTAACATTTACATACTTAAGTAGGGTCTAGGGTCCCCTATGATTACTCGATTTTGACATTGATTTACAACTGCCTTTTCAAATTAATTTTGTTTTTAAAAATATTATTTTCAGGCGAAAAATTAAAAGGCACACATTCAACGAGTTTGACTTCTTTGAAAGGATGGCAGATGTAATAATTACTCCAATTAGAGCCAGTTTATTTGCCGTCAACTCATTTATCCTTTTAACGTATGTTAAGCCAAGAAATTATTTTAATGCATAAACAACACCCACATATCGTAGCTACGATTTTTCCAGTTTTATAAGCCATCTTTAGGGTTTGTCTATGCGTAAAAGATTTGAAGAAATATCCCATTTTAACAGCATCAATAGATACTTTTTCCACCTCTTGAACAGAGATTTTGCAAAGACAAACAAACGATTGCACTTTTTTGTTAGTCTGCGTCTGCACCTTGCAACGTAAATAAGCAATGATAAAAATTACATAAGTAAGCCTATTTTTTCATATCAACATGCAGATTGTATAATCGTTAGGGTCCTAAGCCAAATTAATTTTTCAAAATAAAATTAGTTAGGTACCTACCTACCAACCAAAACTTGAATTATAGAAATTAGGTACGTTTATTAGGTTTTCTACAATCTAGCATTAACATGTAAAAATAACCATGAGGATAACGATAAACTCTGGCGTTATTCCTTTGTATATAGCTGATCATCCCGATAATCTTTTTCTCGATCATTTTGTTAGAACGCATGGTCAGAATAATTGTCACCACGACGGAATGGTGCAAAAAGCCTCTAGTTATTTTTAATTTTAGATAGCGGTTTGTGGGCAATGGTAAAGAAAAGATTCTGCCCCCAATACAATGATAATGGCTACCTAATTTTCTCGATATTATGGTTGTTATTCGTGTTTTTTCTCCCGACTACTTTTTATTGGTTCTTCTTCTGTATATTCAACTTTGGTCAAATTCTACCTCAGCTTCCTGATTGTTCTATAAATATGCTATATCCTCAAGATTTGCTTCCGCTTCTCTAATAATACTTTTTTAATACGTGTTCTCCATACCTAAGGATTCGTTTTCATCATAGAGGTAATAAGTACAGGGACCATACCAGGATGATGTTCAACAAATTAGAGACAAGCTTAAATTTGGTAAGACACTGTGTTTTAGGGTACTAAATACCCGCTGAAACCCCAGCGCCGAGGCGTTGAGCCCGTTACCCCAAAACCAAGTGAGGTGAAATCTGCCTTTTTTTACATTTTTCTCAGTAACTCCAAAACTAAGCATTTTAGGAAAAAATGTCAGGAGAGAAAAATTGTAGAGAAGAAAATTTCCTACCAAATAGGTGTACAGCATCTGTTTTCAGATATTCAGTGGCGTAGATAGAAAGTATTTAATTGAGAGGATTTTTCTAAAAACTCCACTTAATCATTTATATCACTTCAAAACCAAGCATCACCTTAATTCGACACGTAGCCCGTGCATTAGCTTGCAGGTGGATTAGATGCTATCTCTATTATTCCACCTGCAATCCAATTGAATTCTAATGCACGGGCTACGATAATCACGGTGTATATTAATAGCTCTGCTTCTGCTGATTTGAATGATATAAATTTCGATAGGTTTATCTCTAACAGTTTTCCAGAAAAAAAATATAGTTTTTTTTTTTTTTTTTTTTTTTTTCATAAGAAACAATATGTTAGGAAAAGACTTTATATCTGTAAGGAAAATGAGAAAGGTACTTTTCTAACATGTTAGTTTATTTTATTATTAACACTTGCAGTCAAGTTGCAAAACTTAAGCGGGGCATACCAAATGTTTATTTGTATTTTTTTTCATTTTGTATGTGAAACTTTGCAATAAATATTTTTTGATTTTGATTTTTTTTTTGATAACACATTGTTTCTTATGACATAAACCAAAATAATTTTTTTCCCTAAAACTGTTAGAGGCGGAACTTTTAAAATTTGTACCTCAGCGGAGAAATGTCAACTTTTCTGCGATATTGCAAAAAAGTTAGGACCGGTTTCTCAATACCAAGTCACCCCCGGATTGAGCATACCTGCTTTGTAACTACAACCCGGAGGTGACTCCCTATTGAGAAACCAACCTCAAAACTATTTTTAACTTTTGCGCGAATTTTTATCCTCTGTCACTTTTCACTGTCACCCACAGCTGTCACCTTTGGGATGTATGGTATGACCAAAGGTATGACACTTCTTAAACGAAATGTTTCAGCCTTTATAGGTACCTACCCTTCATGCCCATTTTACGGTTAAAAATAAATAAGTGGGGGGTTTTCAGGAAAATCTTTTTAATTAAATACCTAATATCTCTACGCCACTGAACTTCTGAGAAAAACTGATTGTGTATCTTTTTGGTAGGGAATTTTCTTCTCTATCTTGATATTTTTTCCTGAAATGCTTAATTTTGGAGTTATCAAGAAAAATGTAAAAAAGGTAGATTTCACCCCACTTAAGGGGTGGTTTTGGGGTGACGGGCTCCACGCTTCGGCACTGGGGTTTTAGAGGGTATTTAGTACCCTAAAACAAATAGTCTCTTACCAAATTTCAGCTTGTCTCTAATTTGTTGAACGTTACCCA